ATTCCTGCGCTTAAAAATGGTGGCAGGGATGCTTGAACTAATGCTCATTCAATGAGCTTTAGTTTGAGCGCCCCAACCACCATTTTTAAGTGCAGGGACACTGATACACAAGATGTGGTGGCACTTTAATTAGAGCAGCTCTCAGAACCACTCTAAATAAAGTGCATCCCCCTCTCTCTGCATCCAACCCCCAGAGCACATGTAAAAGTGCCCACAAGGATCCACAAGGCTGTCCTGATTTGTAAAAGGATCCTTAAATCTCCAAAGTTTCCAATACATATTCCCATCCATTCTGCATGGATGAGAAATCCTTCTTCTCCTAACCTGGCATATGAATAATTATAGTAACTGTGTTTTATAGGGGTTAATTTACAAGTTTACTTTAAAGTAAACTTGAAAAAACCTCTAGACCCAATTTTTAGTTCAGCCATGTTCTGATATAAAGAGCGAATCCTGTGAAAATAAATACCTAGTATAAAAATGCTGACGGCATCTTAACTACAGTAGAAGCATTATTTGCCCTCCCAAAATATCATACAAACACCTGAGAAAAATGGAGCTTTACCCCATCTTCTTCCTTACCTTTTGCTTTGACTTCCTGAAGAGCTCTCTTCCAGATGTCCAAAGATTCTTTGTATGAGCCTAGAAGAAACTGCTCCTCTCCTTTAAAAAAAATATGTAACATATTCAACAACATTGAAATGTATTCACATCTTTTTATTGTATAGATGTTAGCCCAAATCTTTGCCTATCATTAAATATATTCTTTTAGAAAGACCATATTAGAGAAGCAGGGGCACTGTGTTGCAATAAAGTTAAGCCATTTAGCTACAAAATTCAGAGTCATGAGTTTGAACCTTGACCCAGACTTGCCTAGGGAAATGTCCCATCTCTATCTGAATCACATGGAATAGGCCATGGAAATCGCTACCTTGACTGCCTTAATCACAATGTTACAGGGGTAGGTTGTAGCTGTGTTAGTCTAAGAACATAGACAGACAAGGTTCTGTGGGTGAATCTTATCTCTTTTATTAGACTAACTTAAATAGTTGGAAAATAATTACTAAGCAAGCTTTCGGGTTCAAAAACCCTTCGTCAGGCTAAGGAAGTTTCAGCAGTTGGTGTGTGCTCTTCCTGGATGGAATGAAAAGTAAAGAAACCAGAGGCTGGTCTGGTGTGCATATAAGACAGGTAGTCAGTGAAAATGTAGAGTGAGGAGTCAATGGGTGAGAGAGAGGTTGTGGGGGAGAGAGGAGGAGGATGAATAGTGGAGAGATACCTGGGGAGCCAGATGTCAGGCAGGTTATAATGTGTCATAAATCCAATGTCTATATTTAGTCCATGATTTTTAGTATCCAGGAGGTTGATGAAGTGGAGTTCATAGGCTCGTCTCTGGGAAGTGTTTTGTAAGTTTTTGAACCCGAAAGCTTGCTTAATAATTATTTTCCAACTATTTAAGTTGGTCTAATAAAAGATATCAGATTCACCCACAGAACCTTGTCTGCCTTAATCACGATGTGCATTTGTCAGAGAAACTGTTGAAATGTTAGCAAAATTATACAAATGATCCTCCAAGAATGCAGGTTTCTCAAATCTCTTATCAAATGCAGATGTCTCAAATCTCCAACTGATATTAAGAAAGAATTAAACTTGGGTTATAATCACCGCTTCTACAAGGCTGTTATACATTATGCCACTTGTTACTCTATTAACAGCAGGCTTAGAAATGCTAACTGTCACACAGCACCCTCTGGAGACGCTTGCTCAAGACCACTGTGGCCTTGTTTGGGCTCTAAAACCCCCAAAGCCAGCCCAGTCATAGCTTCTAGAGCAGTGATTCTCAATCTCTTTAGACTCGAGGCACCCCTGGTTTGACTCAAGGCACCCCTCCATAACTTTTACTAATTGAGCAGGACCCGACTTCCAAAAAATATTTTATGACAGTGCTTGCCTCCTTGCAGAGGAGTTGGGCACTGGGAGCAGGGCAATGGCTAGGAATGGATGACTCCTCATACCTGCTTATCTCCTCACACCTTGCTGCAGCCTTTACAAGATCTTGGGTCACCTCGGGGTGCCCTGGCACCCTGCTAAAGAACCACTGTTCTAAAGCAAGGGGGAAGACTAGGCTCCTTCCCATTCTAAGCCCTCAGCCTTTCAGTCTCTCACCTTAACTGGTACTCTGTGGCCCTGACTCAAGGAGCTAGCATTCAGTTCTGCTTTGAGAGGGGATTTACTTCTTGTTGGGAAGATTGGGTGCAACACAAAGTTCCAAGTTCCAGCAGCCAGCTTCTTTAGTAAAGGCATTAATTGGGGCAAAAGCCATGTTTTCTGCCCACCAACCGAAAAGGGGTGAAGCAGTTACTCTGTTCCAGCTCTAGTTCGCACAGCCCAGAGCACCTCCAAAGATACTCTGCTGTTCCATTCCAGTCTCTCTCCAAAGCTCTCAAGCTAGTTTCTGAACCCAGATTCTCTTGCAAGGAGCTGACAACCCTTAGTTCAAATTCCCCTCTCACCGGTATACTCGTCTTCCCCACCCCAGCCTCCTGGAACAGTAAAGCTATATAGGTCCATGTTTTCATCCCACATGTTCCAAAAAGGCAACTCTGGCACTTAGCCCTTCTTTTCTGCTCTCCTCACATTAACTCAGTATTAACCCTTCTTTCCTGGCATGCTAGCATTGTAAGTAAACTGAGTCATGCAACATTATAACAACTTGAACACAGTTCACACAGAAATATTACAATAAATCCCATAGTCCCTCACAAACTGTAATTACAATTTCATTTTGTAGTTTATTCATGGTAAGAGGTGCTTCCTGGTATATTTTCAACTTTCATATCATGTAAAAAATGCTATTAGTTTTGAAATTATGGGCCTGACCCTTCATGGGCCTGTCTCTATGAAGACAGTCTTAAATTTGGTAAATTAAAATGTTTTTTTCTACATGAAGTTCAAGCCTTATATACACATAATTACATGCAAGTACCTTTCGGATTGTGGATGGAAGCCAGAATAACAACCAGTTGTATAACTCACTGTTACAGGATGGAACATTTTTGCCAAAGACATCAAAACAGTAAAACCTACTTTAGAAAAAAGGTGAATGGGGTTTAAAGCATTCTGGCAAACTAAACAGGATTTTTGGTTGCAAATGTCAGAGATGCGCACAACGGTGCATATCTCCCTCAGAAGAGACAAGATTGTGGTCTCTGCTGTCAGAATTCAAACTTCTGGCTCCAGGTTTTCAGCCTTAGGGCATGATACAACAGAAGTTAATCAAACGTTTCTGTTGAGTTTAACAACAGGCTTTGGATAAAGCCCTAAATATATGCCACTAAACTATATATAAAAAGATATTTAACTGCGACTTTTCAAAAGATTGCTGAACGCCAACTGTAACCATCCAAGCAAATACATTACAGACCAAGTTATTTACTGGTTACAAATCTTCTAAAATGTAGTTATTCATACACTATCAGTTATTTGCAGTTCCTTGCAATGTACTAACCAATCACAGAGTTAAGCTTCAAGTTTTGCTCCAAGGTCACTCCTGAAGACTGTAGGGTTGCCTGGATATGACTTAAAAGTGATGCAACAACAGATTCTTCATGTGGAATCTTCACCTCAGTCAATGGCTTGCCATTCCTATATATTTTTCTGTTCAGCTGAGCCTGATACCAAAGCACGTGCTTATATAACAATCGCCACAGTATTGTTAATCTGCAGTTTAAAAAACAAGCTCAGTAAAAAACAAGGAAAATGCTGCCTTACTTCAATGTTTTTTACCATAATTTGATCTTGAGCTCCTTACTGTAACTTAAAAACCTATTGTCTTGGATTTCTTAGGGACAGACTAATTTTACTCAATCATTTGCTTTGACCATCAAGCTTATTGCTATGCTATTAACATTTTGTAGTTTTTAAACTTAGTATTCAGAAAACATACCCTAACTCATGTACCCAGATGTCAGACAAACAATTGGGTTTTTTTAGTTGAACTTACTATAAACTTAACAGTACATTTGCCAAATAACTTAAAACATAAGCCTGTAACAGGTGTAACACCATAACAGCATGGAACTTCTTTAAAGTGAGAAAGGTCTCAGTACGATATGCTTCTTTTCAGGAACATAAAGCAGTTTAGAGGAGCATCCTGCTTGTGTGATAAAAGTGCTTCCTGATTCATTCCAGCTGTATAGAGCCGACCAGTCAAGTGATAATTAAATCAATTTTTATTTTTCCATGAAAACACTGATACCTGTTTTCTGGCTTCTCGTCAAGGCTTGAGGCATAAGGAGGTCTCTTAAGCAAGGAAGTTTGTGAGTGAAATTTCTGAGTGACATTCCCATTAAGAGCTTGAAAAATAGGTACAACCAGAGAGTCAAGTTTGACATTACTGTTGACAGAGGATGTAGAAATCACCTCATACTCTGGAGTGCATATGCCATTTAGAGTGCGAGTGACCATCTTCAACAAGCAGAAGGACCCCAAAAGATTTTTGGAGAACAACTGATCTTTTTGCTGAACAAGCATTATTTTTATAGTTTGTGATGTGAGTTTCGCTACATATTTAATAGTCTGTTCATCTCTGACACCCCAAAACAGGACACTTAAAAACTGCTGAAAATGTTTTAAGACACAATGCATCCAGAGATTATTATCTGCAGACTTGTTTAAAAATGGCTTGTGGTTTAATAAAGGACTTTTTATATACTGGATAATACTGAAAAAGTAAGTAATGCAGCTTATTGTGTAATTCAAAAGCATATCTTTTTCTTGTACGTTTTTTGTAATCCCCGTCTCCCAGGCTGCGAGAAGGTTTTTTTGGATAGAGTTCAGTTCCACAGACCAATCATCTTTTTCTTCGGTATCATCCTCTGCATGTATAGTGTCAAACATTGATGCAAACTCTAACTGGCCTTGACCAAAAAGCAAATCTGGTCTCTGGCTCCAGAAAGCAGAAGAGCTATTTTGAAAATGTTCATCCTCATCAGATTCTTCTTCATGATCCTACATCAGAGGGGGAAAAAAAAGTCTGATGTAACTTTTTTCCTGAACAAGAACAGTGAAGAGTAAGATGCAGTTTAACTTAGCTTCATACGTGAAACACCTCCATACTGTAAGGGCTTATCTAACACAGGGAAGTTAATTTGGGTAAGGCAGAATATGAATTTAAACCAGAATAATTAAATTCCTGTGTGGGTAATCTTATTTTCAAGTTGAGTGCCTAAGGTTAGACCTCTTTCACTGAGGGCTAAGATGCACAGAAATATTTCCTCACATCTCTCTTGCACACCCCACGACAAGCACCCAATAAAAAACTGCTACAATGAGCCATAAATAAACAGCAGTGGAAATGAAAGCTTCCTGGCAGCCATTACATTTATGGCCCGATTAATGTGTCACACCATATATTACAATGTGTCACATGTTAAGGCAATTTATGGCATCATAAAATAGCAAACTATCCACAAAGATATTGCATATTATATGGAATATGTATGTGGAACATTTTTGTACCTGGTTTGTACAGTACCTTAACTTAAACGTATGACATGCTGTGTTCCACACTAGGGTTGCTCCACCAGTGTCGATAATCAGCTGATTGTCAGCATCATCTGGAGACAACCTTGGTCCTGGAACCAGACTGGGGCTGTCCAGGGCAAATTTGGGGAGGAGAGGGTTAATCAGCCAATTTTTGGCAGCAGCCAGAGACTTGGAATAGGACCCAGGGCAGTCCAGGGTTGTTGTTAACAGTGACTGTCAGCAGTAGCTGCTGACTGTCCCAGGTTTCCAACCAAACCAGCGGCTGTCTGGGGCTGGTGCAATCACTTGATTGATGGTGCTGACCCTGGACAGCCCTCAGTCCTGGGGCCACCCCCAGCCTGATCCCCAGAGATTGAACTGGGGGAAGTTAACATTATTAATGCAGTCTGCATAATTATATTTCATACGTATTTGTCTCCTAATACCCAAAATGTGCTAAACACTTCCTAAACGTAAAAGGCATGGTCTCTTACTGAAACAGCTTATAATTTAAAATTGGACCCAGGGTTGTCTCAATGCTCTGCTGAGGTCTGCAATCTGGCACAGGGGAGCCCTAAGATTTGGAAGAGAGCTGCCCCTGCCACTGGAGTAAAAGGAAATGACCTGTTAATATATGATCAGATGACCCCAGGAAAACAACTATACCTGTATAGGGAGAAAGGAAAAACTTCCCTGTGGTCCTTGTCACTGACCCCAGATATGACAGTTGGTTTGACCCTGCATATACAAACTAGATCCACCAGATATGCACCTGAATGGTTTCTAAGTAATCTGAGGAATACCATTACACTGGAGCCATACTCCACCTCTCCTTGTGCTCAATATCCAGTGCTCTAAAGCAGTGGTTCTCAAACTTTTTTTTCATGGACCACTTGAAAATTGCTGAGGGTCTCTGCAGATCACTTAATAAACTTTTTTTGTTCTACAAATCAAAGCATATTTTAATATCAGTAGTCTTACCTTACAAGTACAGATTCTCGATTGTTCCACAACCTTTCTGCAGACCACCTGAACGGAGCTCACAGACCAGTGGTGGTCTGCGGACCACAGTTTGAGAACTTCTGCTCTAAAGGAAGGCAAAAATAGACCCTCCCTACCTGTCACCCAAAAACCCCACTCCTAGAAACCAATAATGCTTTTATGGGAGGGAAGTCCTCTCTCTCTCTGGCCCCTAGTAGCAACAAGAAAAAGCCCTGGGATTTCCATATACATCCCAAAGAAAGATCTTGTCTTTATTAAAAATACACCTCTTTGTACATCCTGCAATTGCATTAGCCTCTTTCAAGACTGCATCATCCTGGTGGCACGTGGTCATTCTGTGACTGACAATTAAATTCAGGTCCTCTCTGCTGTTTTCAATCTGAGAGTCTTATGGCAAAAATTACTGATATTAGATTTTTTTCACATTCAAAAAATCCTAAAATCGGATATATAATTATACATTACATGAAGAGATGCCATGAAATACCTGTAATTCTGTTGTTTTCTCAATCCATTCTACGGTTTCTTCTTGCAAGAATTTTGGAATGGTGGAAAGGGCAGAACTTTGGTTTTGGTGTTGTTTTAATAGATTAGATTTTAAGGAGGACAAAGATTGCAACTGCAGCCTTTTTCCTTTAGACTGTAGAAAACAAAAATAATATTATTAATGCAGTCTGCATAATTATATTTCACACGTATTTGTCTCCTAATACCCAAAATCTGCTAAACACTTTCTAAATGTAAAAGGCATGGTCTCTTACTGAAACAGCTTATAATTTAAAAGCAAACAAGAGAAACAAAAAGGACAGAACCAAATGTAGGTATAGCATATAAATATGCTGGTGAAGGTGATATGTGGCCATATGTTGGACGTGATTCTTTTAATAACACTAGCCAACTATTTTATTTTCTAGGATTAAATATAGGAATAGGTCTCTAGGAGAAATCTGAAGAGTAATGGACAGCCAGACACACTTAGGATAGGCATTTTGGTGCATAGACAGCAGAGGAAAAGAAACCACAGGGACGCTCGTGGGAGAAGCAGACTGTCATAAATCACAGACCCTGCAAGACAAGCAAACTGAGACTTATGTAATATGAATACAACGAGTACAGGCATGTCTTGCATTCTTTCTATATACAAATACTTGTGAAAGAGGTGGGATATCAAGACTAGCATCCCAGGGATGTGGGAGGGAAGAACACCATTGTGAAATACAGAAAAGAAGGTGATAAACAGGGGAGGACAGGATTCTGCAGGGCTTCGATGGCAAGCAATAGAAACCTGATTTTCATGTGCTATAGGAGGATCTAAAAAAGAAACGGGTCCAGTAATTATATTTTGTGTAGAAAAATCAGAAAATCTGAGAGGAAGAAGAGGTTATAGATATCAAGATGGAAGATGACCAAGGAGCCTGAATAAGTGTTTCAGTTGGAGAGATAAAAAGAAAACCTGGGTCCTGAACAGATGGAATTTCAAGGAATAACTGGCAGGATTTGAACATAGTTTGGAGAAGTGGGACAAGGAAGAATGAAGAATCAAAGATGATCTCTAGATCCAGGACCTAAATGACAGTATTATTATATCAAGTTTAAGGGGTCTATTTCTGTTTTTCTTTTCTTAGTATATGCTCTACTACTCAAACATAACTGTCAAGGTTTTTGTTTGTTGTTTAAGTGTTTTAGGTTATGGTCACAGTACTGCACTACTCCACTCACTGTGCCTCTATTGGGTTTTGGCCACTGCATGTTAGTACATCACAATATGTGCATTCCCAATGCTTGCTCATTAGTACAGTGAAATTTAGTATCCATGCTGACCCCCTTTCCAACTAACTTGACTCCACCTTTACTCCCCTGCTGGACATTCACTGTTTATATACCCTTAGTTACCTTAGAGTATCACATCGTCTCCATAATCATTTCACATCTCTTTTTCCTCTTTCTCTAATCCTGTTTGATTATGTTTCTCATCATGCTTGCTCACTCTCCCTAAAAGGGGCATAATTTTCTTCTTTGATCCATCACTAAGATATACAGTATCCTCTCCCAAAGTCCATTCTCAAAGAATACTTATGTTTGGCGTCTCACTGGTAGATCAGCCAATACATATGCATCTAGAAAAGGATGGAGTCTAATTTTCCATAGCCCCCACTGTCCCAGCCCATCCAGGTACTCAAATAATTTCCACAAATTCAAGTACATCTGCTGGTACCTGGATGACAGTGGTATAAATTATTGTTCCATTTTCACTGCTACCCACAGCAATGTCAGTTTATCATCTCATGGATTTGTGAGGGTCTGGACAGCTCAAGGTAATTGGTAACACCTGAAGAATCTTTCACTTCCAAATCTCCCTTTTACTTCTAATTGAAAAATGTTACCCTCCAACAGATTTTGGTCTATGGGAAATGAACTGATGGTCTCAAATCTGTCATTAATAGACAGATATTTGCATCACAACTGAATCCTTTTAGATTTTCTCAATAGAAACCAAAGTTTGCGAGGGTATTCCTTACTGCATCACCAGTGAGGGTGGCCTGTTCATTCCAGGCTGAAGAATGACAGTAAAGCAGTTTACTGTCCCTCTGAATATATTTGGGATTAGCACATAATTTCACTTCATTTCTCCCCAGATAAGTATACTGAAGGGAAAAAAATGATATGTAGACTATATATATGATTAGACAGCAAAATGCTGCAATGTAAACGATCTGCTACTTAAGTGTTGGAAGACACAATTTCTCTCAACAATAATCTCAAAGAATACTGGTGATTCCAAATTATTCTAAGTCTCTCTTGTCTCAGAACAAATTATTCTATCACTTAAAGCAGGAGTGTCAGACATATAGCCTGTGGATAAGATCCAGCCCACAGAGGTAGGTATAAGGAAGGATGCTTAGGAGGTGGGTCATCTAGCTTCAGCTGCCAGCATCCAGGAGTTAAACCCAGAAGTTTCAGTTAGGAATCCACAGTGTTAAAAGCGTTCTGACCTACAGTGGTGTTTTGGAGTTCTCTGAAACAAAAGAACTGTTCTATTATTTTTCTTTAGTCAGAAAAATGAGTGAAAACTAAGAGCTGTAATTTTCAGTGTCCTGAGTCTAGCAAAAGCTAACTTGAGTCTAAAAAAGTTGAGAATCACTGTTCTCAAGAATTCCTAAAGTTGTCCACACCAGCCTTTGAGACATCACAGCCATAAAGCGCCACAGGAAAATAAAACCAAAAAAACCCCTCACCATAAAATGTGCCACAGGTAAGAAAAGGGGAACAAGAGTGCATGGCAAAGAAGTTATTAGGTTAATGTAGTGGTGCCCAGCTCATCTGGATGAGTGGCACAGGGCCAGTCCACAGGCTGGATATGAAGGTGCATCATCTGGCCTGTGGGGTTGGAATTTGTTGGCAGTGTTAATTGCAGCAGTTCCCAGAGTCGTGGCAGCTTCCTTTCCTGCCACCACCAAATTTCCACTCCCCCCCACACTGCAAACCTCTGGACCAGATGATATTTCTCTGTGCTCTGGATATGGGTCAAGGGGCTTTCCACAAATCTAGAAATTTGGCAGCAGGATAAGCAGTGGCAATTAACGGCTCCTTCAGCCTCAGAAATTAATGATGCCACACTGCCAAATTTCTGGACCCATGGGGAACCCTATGGGCAACCCCACGGGTCACATCTTGGACACCCATGATTTAATATATGCTCATATTATCCCAGAACTATGCTCTAAATGAGGGGTTTTCAAACTCCCCACAGGCCAGGTGAGTGACCTGGGACCAGTACACATACCAGACTGAGCCAATGGACCCACAGACATGACCCTTTCCCCCTCCAGTGCCCATGGTGCCAGCTCTAGCTGCTCTGGGATCTGAACTGCATACAGTGCGTCCCAGATCCTGGAGAGGCTGGAATGTGCAGTGCAGATCCCAGACTGGCTGGAATAGGATTGTGTCACACATGGCCCTGGTCCAACCAGTCCAGGACTCATATTGTGTCTGGTGCCTAGGGGTGCCACACATAGCATTGGTCCCAGATCAGCTGAAGCATGAGTTACATGTGGCATGCGTCCTGGAGACCCTGGAGTGGGCATAGCATGCAACGCGATTCCCTGAGCAGCTGGAAGAAATGCTGCGTCAATTCAAACCCAGCAGCAGCCCCGGGTGCTGGATAACAGGGCTCTGCAGGCCATATGTTTGATACCCCTGCCCTAAACTACAACAGAAGGCAAATTTCCCTTGCCACTCTAAACCAGAAATAAAACTCCTTCCTGCCCCTAAAATTTGGTGATTGGTTTGACCCTGAACACTCCCCTGCCCCCACTTCCGCAACAGATACCCTTAGAAGCTTCTCAGGGATGTATCAGCAAGAGTACCATTACAATCCAGTTAAAACAGTGGCAAATATCCAAAGCTCATGAGGAAGGGGAAAAAAGCCCTGGAAGCCAATGAAGTCCTGAAAAAAAAATCCTTCCTAGTCCCTATAAGTATAGGATACCTCCAACACACACAGGAGTTACCTTATACCCTTAACATGGGGAGTGCAAACATCTATATCTACATATCAGATGCACTGATTACTGACCCAAGAACATCCTGCCCTATCATACTACTCCATATATGTTTCAAGCTCCAACTTGAAGTTAATCAGGTTCTGTGCCCCCACGACTTTGTTTGAAAGACCATTGCAAAACTTGACTCCTCTAATTTTCTTCTAAATTCTAGTCTGAATTTGTTTATAATCAAATTGTAGCCATTTGATCTTGTGCCATTTTTGTTCTGTTACTTAAAATATGTAAACTCTAAGCAAGTACATGACTGCTCAGTTGCCTCCGCAAAGTGTTTTATAATACTTTGTTTAAAACAGATGACATTGTTTAAACCCTGTTTTCCTCTTCAACCAAAAGAAAATCATCAACATTTAAAAAAAACAAAAAACAAAAGTACCTTAGCTATCATCAGGCCTTGATGTACTTTTTCAAGCTTCTGGGCTGAATCAAGCAGAAGTGACCTTATAAATCCTGATGGTGAAAGATTATCAGAAAACCTAAGAACTGTAACCATATACCCATCAGAGAAAATGAGGTAGGGTAGTCTTGGGTGTGCTGTTACAGAAAATCTCTGTCTCATTAGATCATTTTCAGAAGCTGATGAACCAAGAGACTGAGTGGAATTTTGAGACATGAACTGTTGAGACCTGGCAAATAAAATAAAAATACATTAGAAAAAATAAACAAGCAACTAACATGTACATTAAGTGTAAAATGAATGCATCAGAAGTATTTTGCTTAAAAACAAATTTTTTGCAATTTATACAGGGGAATTTAAAAAAAAAGGCAGGATAACAAATTAATACCAAAATAGAAACTATAACAAGCATTATATCATAAAATAATCTGAAAATACCAATATGCCATTAAGGCATAACAAATTAGAAAATACTAACAGGCCTTTTAAACCCTAATTAGCTGCTACCAGAGCAAAACAGTGGTATCATTCATCTGTTATGCACATATTGACATATTATAATATCACATAAGTGTACGATATTACATAAGGTGCTGATCCTGAGAAGACTTTACTAGATGATTCATCATTAGAGTTAATCACGAAGCATGGTAAGCCTTTGCAAGACGAAAATCAAAATAACTACAAATAGAGATCATGTATGTAAATTAATGAAGACGACAGAAATTAATGGGTATTTAAAGAACAAACCCTTCAGCCATTCCACAAAAATATTTATAAACACAACATCTTGAACCTAACAGCAGAATGTGACTTATGTTTCCAAATTATGAGTGTGGCAGGGCACCTTTGGTGGCTGCCACTTTAAGGTTTGAGCAGGCTGTGGAGCAGTGGGTAGGTGAGGTGTAGCCTAACGAAGCAGTCACAACTGCAAGAGGGCTCCTGGATTGGAGGATGGGGCTGGGCAGCCTCAGTATAAACCCAGCCCCTCAGGGCTCAGATGGCAGTTGCTACAGGAATAACAATGCCCAGCTGGAGATCTGCTGCTCCCAGAGCACCTGGAAGTCAAGGGTAGTAACTATGGGGCTGGAGGAGGTTCCTGGTCCTGGGGAATGACCTAAAACCACACCCTGCTGGGGTTGGATGGTGTGGGAGGGCTGCTGGGGTGGGGGTCCCCAGGAAGTGCCACACCAGTGCCTCCCAGGTGAAAGATGAGTATGGGGTGCCATATAGCCTCAACCCCCATGACCTGGTGGGTTACCCTGTAGAGGGGACACGTGAGGGGTCCAGGCAGTTCAAAGGCCTGAGGCCCAAGGGGTGTAAGGCCTATAGCCCCAGTGAGGAGGCAGTGTAGTGGGCTCAGTGAGGGGGCGTGTGTGAGTAGGCTGAGTAAAGTAGGGTCTGTATGGGGGGCCTGAAGGATCGTGCGTGGGCTGCGTAGAGAAGGGTCCACATGGGCGGGCCTGAAGGACTGCGCGTAGGCTGGCATTAGAGATAGTGAGCTGTGTTTAGAGGGGCGTGAGAAGGCAGACCTTTATGACAGGGAGAGGGCTAGGTGCTCAGGAACCTAGCCAGGAAACCCTCAACTGGTCAATGCTGGGGCCAGGACCACAATGGTCAAAGGGCAAGGATGCCCACTGTGAGGGATGGCCAGAGCCAGGGGCCTGGAGTTCTGATTGGCCTAGAGGCAAGGCTAGGGCCTATGAGGCCAAAGGTCCCAGAGGGGGCCACTGCCGAGAGGGAAAGAAGTCTAGGGAGTTTCGCAGCCCAGAATGAAGGCAGAAGTTAGACCATCTGAGGAGAAGGGATCCAGGTGAGGTCTGAACACCAGATGGGCAGAGAATGAGATCCATTGTGGGGCTGGAGCCACATAGCAATGCCATTTGCGAGGCATGGGACATGGTGTAGGGATGCTATGGAGCCATGTATTACACCTTTGGCATTGGGCATTAAATGGGCAGCCTCCTGCCTATAAACTACTTCCAAAGTTACAAAGGCGAGGCAGGTGGGCAGACTACCCTCAACAGGAGGGCAGGCCAATGATTAGACCGGCCTTGGGATAGCCCCCTGTCACAATGAGGAAGAAGTTATTCCCACTCCTTAACAGCTAAAATATTAAGAAAATCTTTAAGAGTAGCTGCATGTACAAAATAAGCAACTCCGTTACAATTAAAAATATTCTTTCATGTATACAAAAATCTGATTTTAAAAATCAACCAGTATATGAAAATCGTGTGATGCCTGCTTGCACGTAAGATCAGGTTTTTGTTAGTTCTTGGCCAGCAAATATTTTGTACATATGCACATAACAGTTAGAAGAACGCCTGATGCCCCATAATTTCTAGTACATAGGCTTTATGGAAGGACTTTATAGAAGGAGCTCAGTAGTATTGTGCATTAACAGGAGTTGGTTCATTTAATTTTATTCCCTGAACAAATATAAAAAAAACTTGCCACAAACGACATGCTACTCAAAGTATGTAATACCATACTTGATATGATGTAAAATCACTAACAAGATGAATATAGAAAAAAGAGTTGACTACTTTAGGAGTAGTGTGTGACATTTAGCTCTTCTCAGTCCATATGAACAGTCAAAATCTTTCATTAACGTAAGCAAATTCACACAAGAATATTGAAAATGATTCTTACATGTGTACTTAAAATGTGTAATGTTTTGTAACTTTTAATCAAAAGTTAAATACATTTTATATAGCACATGTACAAATTCCTTTTGTTAATTTTCCAGACTCTTTCAAAACATGAGATTGCTGACGCCCAACAAAGAAATGCATCTACCTCTATAAGTCTAACTTGAGTGAGAAGTCTCACGTGAAATTTAAGGATCTGGGGTTGCAAAAGCATATTTAAATATCTAGCTGCTTGTTCATGCAAATATGCAGAACTGCAGACCACAGCTCGTAATTATTAGGTATGGGTGTGGAAGTTAAGTTCTCATATTTTGAACGTTAAAATAAATTTAAAACAAAATTATAAGAGCTATGTTGTTATCCTTAATTTTAAAAAATATTTTTTTTTACATTTATAAAATTGACTTTTTCTCCTGATGATTGAACAGTATGAAGATACCTGCTCATATTAACCTCAGAAATACTGAAAAAAAAAACCCAACTGTTCCTAAAAGGAAAAAATTGCTTATACTTACATTGCCACAATGTCAATTTTTCAGCAGG